GAGGGAGGGAGGGAGAAACTATATAAGAATTCATTGTATACTTGAGAGTTTGGAGTTTGTTCAATGCAAATAGGTATGAGAAGACTAGCACACTTATGAGTTGGTATTCTCCATGTTCCTTTTTTCCTCCTTCATCTAAGGATGGAGCTAGCATGTTCCAAGGTCTTTGTTATGTTGCTTGGAGGAGGAAATGCTGGGAGGTTTAGGAGCTAAAACTAAAACCTAGATTCATGTTCATTAGAAAGAACAGTGAACTCATCTAAGAAAAGTCAATTGAAACTTAAAGACTGAAGAAGGAGATGGATACAAGAATTGAGAAGAAAGTTAAGACAGCCAGGACTAAAGTGTTTTTATAATTTTTTTGGGATTGACAGAGAGGAGAGATTTACGGAAAGGGAGTATTAGGGTTTTAAGGAGATGGGTGAGTGGAGTAGATTCCTAGTAGTTTTGCTCTGACTTAAACCATGAGATTCTCCTCCGTGACATTGTAGACAGAGTTTGGTGAGCACTAACATTACTTTTCAGCTGGAATGCACCAGCACAGGGATGACACTCAAAAGTTGGGGCACTATTCTCCAGGATGTGATATATATATTCAAACAGTGGTCATTATTTGGTGCTAGAATACATACTCGTACGTGGAGCTGAGGAATACCAGGTAGAGTAGTACTCAGCTCTCTAACCACCATGCCCAACAACCTATTTGCAGATTTTGTGCTTCCAGAATTTACAATGCTAAGTTCTGATATCTCAAAGGTTCTGGTCCAAGGAGAAGAACATTGGTACCAGTGCCCACTGAAGAGTTCCCCTGAACCTAAAACCTCAACTGCCTCCTGGTCATTTGGGACTCCTCATGCTCGTAGACCAGTAGATAAATAAAGGACTTAACTCTACTGGTTGATATAATTGACCCTGATTATCGTGAGGATTTAGGATTGCTGATACATATTGGGACTTGTGGTGTTTCTATGCCATGGGAAAATTGAAAATGGGCGATTTAAAAAACTGTGGCCAAATAAAGGCAAGACAACCAAAAACTCAAACCCCTCAGGGATGAAGGTCTAGGTTATGCCACCAGGTAAGCAAATGACATCAGCTCAATTTCTAACCAAGGATAATGAAAATCTAGAATGGATGTGAGAGGGAGATGGCAAATACCAACGTTGGCCTAGGACGAGCTGCAGTAGTGAGGAGTGTGTAGCTTGTTCCAATAAGACTTAGTGACCAAGTGAGCTCATACGGAGCTCTGCGGAATCTGAGTAGTGCAGGGGGTAGCCTCTGACATTCATTTATTGTTCTCCAAATCACATACCCCATGCTTACCTCTGATTTCAGTCACAACTGTGGGGAAGAGAGTTCCAGACAATCTCACATTCACCTTGTATGGGTTAGCTGCCCACCTCAAGAGCAGAAATCTTCCTGCGTTCTTTCAGAGCTTTCCCTGAGGTAATGGGCGTCTGCCTGACTGGTGTGCAAGAACAGCTATAAGAAGTGGGTGGAAGTTAGTGCCCCCAGGGACAACCCTCAACTACGGAGTGAGGAGAAGCGAGAGCTACACACTCCAGACTCCAGGCCTTAAGGCAGACAATTCTAGGAGTCACTCTGGGTGTCTCCTAGAAGTTCCAGGGGAATAGAGACCCTGCTGCCCATAGTAGCAGCTCCGGGGGGGACACTTAACCTATACTGGCTCCGAACTTTCCCTGTTCTACTTCTCCACTCCCTCACTCTGAGGTCCTGGATCCTTTTGTAAATGAACTACCAGCACTTAAGGCCTTCTTATGTTCTGATTCTAGGACAGTGAAAATTATGGCAATTCTTTAAAAAGTAAGGGGGAGGTGGGCAAATATATTTTGTGTACAGAAACACATTTATTTCTGGGTGTTCTATAGATTGTAAAATCATTTATCTTTCCATTAGCCAGGTGCCGACTTTTAAGCTCTTTGGTTTATATTTCTTTTGGTCCTGTTGTCTTCTCTTTTTGGAAATAGTCAATTACCCTAAAACACTCATCTTTGTTTAGTCTCCAGATGGTGACAGTGCAGTTCCCAGTGCTCTGCCCCTCACTTTGCTTAGTTTTATGTTACAGTAAAAAAAATTAAGACACCACCATAATTCCAGGATATGTTTAGCACTTGCTCAAAAGGTCACACTTCTTATACATTTTTACTAAATGCCGATTTCCTCACAGTCCCTGTGGTTAGTTGTGTTTGGAGATATTTGGCTATGAATTTAAACATCTAAGTATGGTCTCCCTTTAGAAAACGCTGGACTGTGAGTCAGAATCCTTTGATACTTTTCCATAATTCTACTCATTATGTTGAGAAATCTCCTATCCTCTTCAGGCAGTTTCTCCATCTGTCTTGGAGCCAGCAGGCACTTATCTGTCTCCCAGGCTCAGAAACAGAGTTTATAGTGCTGAGAGCCTCTTTGATACTTAAATCAGGAATGGGTCTAATTCTGCCACACTTTTTATGTTTATAATCTAAAGAACTTCTATTAGTTGTCTTAGCTTGATGAGGTTGGAAATACTTTTTAACTACAAAAGAATAAAGAACGATCTTTCCTGCTTTTACATAATAATTTAACTCTGATCCAGGGAGAGTAAACTACTTCTAAGTGAGGGAAATAAAATCACTTAAAACACCAATGGACTGTTAGTTCTTTACATCTCTTTCTGAACTTCATCCTGACCAAGTCAATACTATGTTGCCTTCTAATGTTACAAGGATGCATTTCTTTAGATAAAACAATACATAAATCCAGAGGACACGGCTTGAAAGCTAAGAATGTCATTTAAGAGTACACTGTTAGAACAAACGCATAAGTCTATCCTATACTAAAGCTCTGTGTATGAAACTATAGGTTGGGAGTGAGGACAAGGGTATGGGAGCAAAAGATTGTATGTAGCTGCGAAGCTCATTTCTGCAGTTTTACTTTTGGTATGGGTGTGTGCGTGTGTGTGTGTGTTTGTGTGTGTGTGTGTGTGTACACTCTAGGCTCCTGTTTGTGTGTTTTTAGGGTATTGTTAAGAGGTAGTCTGAAATAAACCATAACCCCCACATATTATCTTACAGAGATGTCTTTTGTTCTGCAAATCTCTTTAAAGTTCTTTGACAAAAGCTTTGGTTCATTCATTTATCTTAGGATCAAGCACTATAAGCAGATCAATTACGTATTTTATCTGCAGCACTGAGGTGAGGATGGAGTTTGCCTGATTGAGTCAGTGCAAAGCAAGTGGTTGTCAAGGAAGTACTTGTAAGTACTCAATTAAAACCACAATTCCAACTGAAACTCTGAGCAGAAAGTATAAAATCTGATAATCATGCTTCCAGTGTTTATATCAAATTTATAACTGCCAAAATATTGGTGTAGTTTTACACAAACTAAATAATGCTATAAAAAAAAATAATGTCTAGCCTAGTTTTAGAAAATAGCTACACTTCAACTGTAAGAAGGAATCAAACTTCAGGATTATAATTAACTCTGGAAGTAGAGGGACAGAAGAGTGGAAGAGCGCATAGACTGATGTAACAATAGTGATAAAGTTCTAGTTCTGACGTTCACAGTGTGTATTCATGAGTGTTCATTTTTATTATACTTTTCATTATGCTTTATATTTTATATCTTTGGTAAATGTTTCTTTCACAGGTACCAATTTTTACATAATACAATAACACATAGTCAACATTTTGGATGTATAAGTAACCATTTATATTAATTTTGTTCCAATTTTTAGTCATTAAAAGTGTAATTTAGTTTGGGGTAAGTTTTGAAAGATCCAGTATAAATATTGCATTTGAATCCATCTTGAAATGTTTTAGGCTTACAACTACATTCTTGAAAATGGCTGTGTCTTAATAACACATTTATCTTGGAAAATAAGCACTGAATGGCTTTCTTTAAAATGTAGGGAGCATATCAAACAGAGGTCTTATGTCTAGTGTTATAAATGTTGTCTAAGGTCTTGGTCTTGATGGCTTATTGCAAAAGCCCTTGCCATAAATCAACTGACAATACAATTTTAACAATTCATGTAAAAACAGTATGCTGGAAATTCTGGGCATAAGGCAAGTCACATTTGATTATGAATTGTGATTTATCTATACTACAATTAGACTATATAATTTTACCTTCTTACTTACAAGACAGGCACAGGAAATACTTCTGTAGGTTACTAGATTCAACAGTTCCATCTTATTTCTGCTGCTTTTCCTAAGATAAAAATCAAATATGTGGTAGAGTGTGTGCAATCAAATCAAGTCTCTCTAATTTACTTTGAAAAGTCTATGAACTTGCCCAAAAATATAATTTTCTTTATTTTTTGAAGAAAATATATACTCAGACTATCATACTAAATTCTAGACTGCACTCTTCAAAGCAATATTGGGCTAACTGCTCTTCTGACCAACACTTGCTCCTCAAAAACAAACAAACAAACAACCATGGAAGTTATCACACCATGTAGAGCTGGATTTTGAAGATTAATTCAGAAGCAGTTCAGAAATATCAGAAGGGATATGTTTGGATCTTTCCACTGGAGATTAAGTTAATTTTTTCCATTATCTCATGATATTGTGAGTGACTATTATGTCCTTATCATGTTCCAGGTAAAACGTTCAGCACTTTACATTCACATTCAATTTTATTTAATTCTCACAAAAACCTTCATGAGGTCTGACTACCTAGAAGTGACTTAGCCAAGCTATATTACTATTAAGATAAACTACAATATCAAACTTCTGACTCTAGTGCTAAGACTCTTAACTACTATACTACAGACAGTAGTTATTATATGCTGAGTCCCACTGTATTAATTCTTTTACCATTTATTCATATATTATCTGTTTGCTGCAATGAGTTGCCCCTAGCAACACACTACCTATCCTGAAAAGAATTTTTCACTGTCTGGGAAGGAAATTTTTGAGGCTCCATCTTAAGACTTCAAGGATTCCGAGATAAGAGGAAGAAGTAATGAATTAGTCATGATCTTATAAAACCTTTAATCAGAGGCTTTCCTGACAAGATCTTACAGGATTTATAATCTATCGTTTTTCTCTGTGTTTCAGGTAGGAGAGGATAAAGAGGAAAGGGTTATAAAGCTGTTTGACAAGTACTCAGGTAAAGCCAAAAACTAAATAATTGCCAAATAACCAATTTGTAAAAGAGGAAAATGGTAAAGATTAGAGGTTTTCCCCAGTCAAGCATGCTAGGCCATGTACTACTTGAAGTGTTCAACGTCAATAGGATGACTTATTTACCACTTTTATTGAAACTAGCCTTGAAGAAAAATGTCTAGACACATTTAACAGCCTTCTTGCCCATTTCAAATCATGAGGCTTACTTTTCTCTCTTCTTTGAGCCAAATGGACAATCAACTGATTAGTAAGTGGACCACCTACACATTGAATTATTATTACCATGGATTTTTGCTGCATTATCTAGCTATTTGATTCATTTCCTGTGACTGCAATGTCATGAAGGATACGGATTTGGGGCCACCTTGTGACAGATTTGGAAAATTTTTGGAGACTGAAGCCACTGCTATGAACCATCTACATACGTTATGTCATTTAATGCTCACAGTGATCCTATGAAGTACATGCCATCATATGTCCATTTTACAGATGAGACAAATGAGGTTTAGAGAGAATGCTTAATTTGTCTAAGTTCATGCTGAGAGCAAGTGAAATCTTAGAAAGCCTCAAAATATTCTGGTTGAAAACGTGAAAGAAAAATTGTTCTATAGGAAAGCGCAAAAGTACACAAAAATATTAAGACGTAAATCAACATATTTACCCTTTAGTAACATTTTAAAACTTCAAATTGTATCTCATTAGCATATTTTGGATTGGAAGCTCTGTTTTCACAAAAGCACAAAATAACAGAAAAAGAAAATGCAAAAAACCTGGAAGAAAACCATAAGAACTAATATTATGAATAAATTCAATGATAGAAATTAAAAAACTTAAACATATTACATCTTTCTTACTCATACCCCTGTGATCTTATTCTTCACCTTTTTAAGTATTTCATATTAAAAAAGGATATGCGCGTGAGTGAGTTTATAGAAACGGAGGAGCAGGTATTTTCTAGCTAAAATTAATACTAAGTACCCTTGAATTCTATTTTCAGGGGTACTTTCTAAATTCTATTGAATTTAGAATTCAATATTCTAAATCATATGTCTTACATTATTCCTTCAGGGATCTCAGACAACATCTTCAAAAGTGCAACCATTGTATTCCTCCTTTGTCATCTCAAATGATGGCAGTAGACATGGAGTTCCACTGCCCAGATCCCCCTTCATGGATGAACTTGCTGTTTCAATGCAAAGAGCTGCCTTGACCAAGGTCACACCCTGCATGGGGCAGCATGCACCCAATCCCTTAGTGAGAGGTGGTCCTTTGGAGCTCTAGGCAGGACAACACTATTTGCTCTGGGGCTGGCCCTGCTGGGTTGTCTAAGTCTATACAGGGCTTGCATCTGCCATTTGACTGCTCACTTCTGCACAGACCTGCTTCCTCCCCCTTTTTTGCATAGGTTTTTGATACTTAAAAAACGTCTTGAACTCCAAAATCATCCCAGAATCCGCTTCCTGTTTTTATTTAATAGTGGCAAAAAACATGACCTAAAATTTACCACCTCAACCATGCTCAAGCATATAGTAGTGTTAATGATATGCCCGTTGTTGTACAGCAAATCTGTAGGACTTTTTCTTCAGAATCTGCTTCTTTGGAGAAGTCAATCTGTGCCAACACTTTTTTCATGATCTAAATCCTTTTCAGATGTTTTGAAGTGTTGCTCTCCTTTCTCAGTAATACCCTAACCAGGCTTGCAATATGAAAATGTGATGATGAAAGATGAGAGAAAACACATAATACAGAGTATTTGCATGGATCCACCCTCTTTTTAATGGGATCAGTGAATATTTTCCATTCAACTTGAAAACTGGGGTTTTTCTTTTTTCTAGCCCTTATAGGAAGTATTGTAGATAGGAATTGGAAGGCTGTCTCCTGGACGTTGAAGCACATAGCTAAACGTACTTTTGATTAGAGACAGGCCCAAAGCAATATGGCTGGTCTCTAACAAAGTTTTTGACTTAAAGTTTTTCTAAAGTCCTGAGCATTGTCTTTGGAGTTTTAGAGTTCATTGCATTTACTCAAAATTAATACCCTGTCAAAACTCTACACTTTGGTATGTCTATCCATAACATGGTGTGGGGGTTGGGGGAAGGGCGTTAGGTTACTGCAGTGGTTTTCAATCCTCCTGTGGCAACTTAAAGATGGCTGAGAATGTTTTGCTACTCCTGGCATTGAGAGGTGGAATCTAATTCCTCTACTTTTCAATCTAAGTTGATATCAGTGACTTGCTTAACAAATAGGATGAGGCACAAATCATGTGGCATGACATGCAGGCTAAATCGAAGAGACTTGCAGCGTCACCATGATCTCTAGGACCACTCGCCCTGGGGGCCCCTGAGCACACCAATGTTTTCCTGGGAACCACAATCCCCAGAGGCTTTAAAGTCTTTAAAAGCAATTAATAACAAACAATGAATTCAGAAAGAGTAAAGGAACATTTTTTGTGCTTTTTTCAGAGAAATTAATACTGTTTTAGTTTTACTGCGGTGCTCCACATTTTCAGGTATTAATAAACTAAAATTGCTATTGCTGCTCTTTTTTTTTTTTCCTATCATTGAAGATGCAAATACATGAAAGAAACCTATTAAGTAGCTGGAAAAAAAAAAGTTTAGTACAATTTCATCACGCAATTGAGCACAATTTTCTGAATCTCCCTTATTAGTTCCATGATAAATGAAGAGTATTAGTTGAGAAGAATCAACTCACCTCCTCAAAACTGTCTTTTTTGCAGCACAGCCTTCTGCACCCACTTTTGCTGCAGGTCCAGGCAGAGGTCTCTTTGTGATTGAGCTTCACACTTAAAAAAAGAGGGATTTTTGAGATGAGTTATTAATCTGGTTTAGATTTTCCTTTGTCACTGAAAGCATTGTCCTTTGGGTTCAGCGATGAACTGAAATGATCGCATCAGGGTTTCTTTTTCTGGAAGCCATGGGCAGCTCACAATGCCAAAGGCCAACTGAATCCAGTTTTCACAGTGAAAGGAATTCCCAGGTTACCAGGGTCAGAGTGCGAGGGTGGCCAACATGCACCTAAAGCTGTTTCATTCACAGTCATTCCCAATTCAAATTTAATTATTAGCTCGGAAAATTTCTCCTGCTTCTCTGATTTCTTTAACTCTGCAGAATGGAGGTTAGCCAGATCCCCAGACTGTGTTTTGGAATTTGCTTATATCAAATAATTGAAACCATTGCTATGGAATTGAGAAGTAAGAGGACACAAGAGATGAAACTAAACACCTGTAATATACTAAGTTTCATAAAGACAGATTTTTTCTTACTGTTTTGTTCACCATTGAACACCCAAGCACCTAAACATTCCGTGTTGTCAGAAGCCTAGTAAGTAAGCACTTTTGAAAGCCTTTACATGATTCCTCAGTATCTACAACGTGATCTATTTCAAATCAGTCTTAAATCTTTGATAAATTTGGGATGGAAAGGAGTGGAAAGAGTCCTCCTGCACCGGCACTGAAGCTGTGTGCTAATGCATGGCATGATGGAAGCAGAGAAACAGAAAGGGGAAAGGGCTAGTTTCATCGAAAGCCACAACTCTGCTGGACCCTCTTTAAACTCCAATATGATGATTTTGTGGAAAATGTCTTAATTTTTTTTTTTTAAGATTTTTTTTATTGGGGAATTGGTGGAAGGGGAACAGACAAGTTGCTGTCCTTTTGTTCTTCAGTCTGGTTGTGGAGGACGTTGCTTCACTGGCCCAAGTTGGCACCATCATTGCACTCTTCCTGGGCGAGGCAGACCAGTCACCGGCTTCTGGACAGCCACTCACTGTGGCTGCTTGCCACTCATGCTGGCTGCTGGCTACACACGGTAGCCCATGGCAGCCCACCGCAGCAGGGGCTGCAGCCTACGCTGTCACCGGCGACTCACTGCAGCCCAGCTCCAGGTTGAGCTGTTGTTCAGCATCTTAGCTGTAGAGGGCAGTGTCACTGGCCCTCATATGTGGGATCCGAACCGGGGCCCTGTGGCATCCCAAGCCAGCTCTTAACCAATGCGCCACTCGGCCGGCCCGAAAATGTCTTAATTTTAAGAAACAGGTTGCCGCAAATAAAAGAACTAATGTTTGGCCAGTCCAGGACATCAACATTCTTTCTTCGAAAATGATTTTCACTGACTATTTGAATAACATTCTACATGATCACTAATATTCGTAGTTTTTAAAATTAATATGGCATCTCCACGTTGCACTTTTTCTTCTATTTGATTTTGCAGAACCCTCTGAGATACCATTATGTTCTTGATAGGAGGTAAGCTATGATCTCATCAACAATCACCTTCAGAAAGAATTAATAGAAACATATGACTATTTCATAGATGTCTTATGTTTAAAAAAAACTTTAATGCTAATAAAAGAAAAAAATCAAGTAGAGAAACCACATGCTAAAAACAATATTATTTCTCATAGAACAGGATCTCAGGAGGGTCTAAGGTCTATCATGGTGTCCTTAAAACAGACAAAAAATTGATAGCTGTCTGAGCATTTGTCAATAGAATGCTGACTAAAAAAATATATGGGTTACATGGTCCAATGTTAATAAACAATATTCCTCAACTGTGGCTCCCAATGGAATATAATATAAATTATAAATGGATATATAAGTATATACAGTGATACATAGCTTTATAAAATTCAACTAATATTCAGACTTATACTCATAAATATATGTTACAGAACAAGATCTGATTTTTAGTGACCAAATGCTTACATCAGTTTAAATATTACACTTTCCTAAATAATTCAAAATCAAATTCAAATCAGGCTGACTTACACGTTAGGTACAGCACACAGAGTAGTTTTATAATAAATTATTTTAGAAGCCCATGAAAACGTTTCAATATCTTTTAAAATCAAAAGAAAAAAATATGAAGCTTTAGAGTGAAAGATTGTCTTACTTTTTGCATAAAAGAAAAAGAAAACAACTTTGGGGCCTACAAAAATCTACTAAATTTTGCCTGAAACAGAAGTAAAATATTTAAAGTTATATCAAAATTAAATTTAATATTGATATCATTATGATGGGAGAATTCCACAAAGGAAAAAGTGTCTAGGGCTAATGAAAGTCAGTTTGCAACCCTGTCAGTAAACATTAAATTAATGAAAACAGAGATTTTTGTTTGTTTGTTTCAATACACAGCATTTTGGATACCCTTGCTTTCTGAGGCTCATAATTAGACAGAAGAAATATGGGCCTACCTTCACGCGGTGCTACAAAAAAATAATACTGCCAAGAGAGCAACGGGGCAATGGTCAGCCTAGAAGTCATGTTTACCCTGGATCCCTCCTTTCCTGTTTCCTACAGCCCCTAGTCACTAGTCCGCTTAGCTCTCCCTTAGAACTTGTGTTGGCTGGAGTGTCCCTGGGGCTTTTTCTATTATTGCAACACCAAATGTTTGTGAGCTTTCATCCTTACACTATGTTACTGGAAATAACACAAAATCCAATACGCCACACTGCACTTTGAAACTAAACCTGAGAGAAACAAACACCCATAGGTCTCTAAACAAATGCTCAGCATGATTACAATTTAACCTGATGTAGTACAATTACTATTTTGTTTAGCGTACATGTCATCCTGTTCGAGCTGCTATAACAAAAATACCATAGACTAGGTGGTCTAAACAACAAACATTTATGTCTCACAGTCCTGGAGGCCAAAAGTCTAAGAACAAGGTACCCAGAGATTCCATGTCTGGTGAGGACCCACTTCCAGGTTAAAGACGACTTTCTTCTTACTGTGCTCTCACATAGCAGAAGGGGTGAGGGAGCTCTCTGGGGTCTCTTTTCTAAGGGCTCTAATCACATTCATAAGAGCTCCACCTTCATGACTTAATCACCTCCCAAAGTCCCCACATTGAAATACCATCATACTGGAGATTAGGTTTCAACATATGCATTTTAGGGAGACAAAAGCATTCAGCCCATAACAACATATATCTCTCAATTTGATTATTTGTATTTATATCCCTATTTTTATAATATTTTTATTTTGAAATAACTTTAAACTTACATAAAAGTTGCAAGAACAGTGTAAAGAATTCCGGAATACTCTTCATCCAGATTTCCCAGTACTTTCTAAGAACCAGTGTTACAATGATCAAAATTAAGAAAATAATTGTGATACAGGACTATTATTTAATCTACACATTTTATTCAACTTATGAAAATTGTCCCAAAGATATTATTTACATATATGGAAGTTTGATAGACAGGTAATGGAAGCATGGATGGATGTTTGGACAGGTGAAAAGAAAGAGAGTGAGAGAGAAAGGCAAAACTACTCCAGGATCCAAATCTAGGGTCATGTATTTTATTTAGTTGTAATGTCTCTTTAGTCTCCTTTATTCTAAATCAGAAATTCCTCAATTTGGATTTGTCTTATGTTTCTTCATGATTAGATTCATTTTGGGCAGCAATATCCCAAGATGATGTTGCACACTTCAGTGCATCATCTAAGAACATATCCCTATTTCCATATGCACAAAAAATAGTTAAAACGATTTTGCACCTCAGCAAATAAAACATTAAAGAATCAATTTATGCCCTAGAGAAAAAAAAAGAATTGTATGAAACTCCCTTCTTCTGTTCCCACTGTTTATCATCTTGTTTTGTAGAAATAGTTTCAGTATCTGGGTATAATGAGCACTGTCCCAGAACACTTGCAGTAATTCTAATTAACAAATAATTTATTGTGACCTATCACCTTTCCTCCTTTCCAGAGCTAGCTCCATGCAGCAGTAGGCAGCTGCTCACAAAAGGCGTGTGTGTGTGTGTGTGTGTGTGTGTGTGTGTGTGTGTGTGCGTGCGCGCGCGCGCGCGCGCGCGCTTGGGGAAGGAGGGGTGGAATCTGTATTAAAGTGCTCACCAGTGAAGCAAGGCAAATTGTATATGTGTCTGGTTCTTCATGTTTTTAACTTTGGTATTTTTTCCTGAACTTAATCATTTGTTCACTAAATTAATAATGGCATTTAATAAATTCGTGTTATTAATTATATAGGTAATAATTTTCAGCATGCTTTGTGTCAGGTATTGTGGTAGGTGCTGTGAATAAACAGTGAACAAGACATAACTTCTTCCTTTGTAGACCCCACAATCTAGTGAGAGTACAGACAGGCAAGTGACATGCAGTAGGTAGAATTATATATATATAAATGCAGAGGCCATGGCAGCCCATGGACAGGCCCTTTCAACACCTTGGGGGAATTGAATTACGAAATGGGCTCTGGGTTGGAATGTAGAGCTCTTAAGGCAAAGGTGGCAGGGAGAGAAGTGGCACTCTCGGAGAGCACTTACACCCACATGCTCTCTCCTCCACAAACACCAGGCCTGCTCATAGAGACAGCTCTAAGACAGGAGCTTATTGCATGGAATTTCAGGCTACTCGTTGACTCTTCTTGGAAAAAAATAATGCCAAAATTTGAACTTTTGAATACTCAGTGAAGCTGTTGATATCACTCCTAGGTCCATTGG